GCGCAGAAAGGCTGGGATGGAGTGTTGACGATGGCTCTCCTCGCCATTCACTGGGCTCTTCGATGGACCTCCTCTAGTCAAGATCTTGCCCGCGACTGGCTGGCGCGAGAGGGGGTTGACGCTGAAGTCAGGAGCTTCGAATTCGGCGGCCGATATCCCATGATGGGTGCTATACAAGTATCCAGTGGAAGTACAACCTCGCGTTGGATGGACAACATCTTGATTCCACATCCTCGACGAGAAGCGTGGCTCAAGATCCTCAGGGGGCAAGAGCCGACAGAGAGGCTTGACAGCCACGATACAGGGTGGCTTGAATACGCTTCTGAGGCATCTTTCGCTTCTGCGGAAGTGATGAGAGGTGCGTTGAGTATATAGTATCAGATGTAGGTGTGTAGGTACATGGTGCACATTGTCATACAATAAGTATGTATGAAAGGAGATAGATGAATCAGGAAGGGAGACGTCTTCTCTAGGGAGGGGGATAAGTACTATTTCTGTGCCTTTATTTTTGAAAGAGCTGTATATTTCGAATCTCTCTTCTTTCGTTTGCTATCGCAGATATCAAGGCCAGATCGACGTTACATATCGGCGTCAAGTATCGGTAGCTTAGGTACCTAAGTTAGTAGATTACCGAGCACAGCTGGTCAATGACCATCGTTTGTTTCCATTAGACTATATCTACTAGGTACCTAGGTAGGTACATATCAAGCTTGACCTTCGTTTTGATAAGCTATTCTGGCAAGCTGCCTTTATCAACGGCCGGTAGCCAGGCACGACGAAGACTAGCCTGGCACGAAGCCTAATCAGTTTCCGTACCCGTAAAGTATTCGACCGGTCATTCAGCCTCAAACCCAATATAGTGGACTCATGGCAGAAACTCGTTAGGTCTTAGAACAATACATCTCTTTAGGATGGTCTACGACCGCAAGTCGAGAATTCATTATATTGGAACTATTACCTATCTATCCCACTTACCCGTTCACTCGATCTACTTTACACAGGTTTCAGTAACGTGATATAAATAGAAGTAATGAAAATCTATCGCTCCTCTTAGTTGCGCTTCAGTCCCACTGCTAAAGGTTTTCCCACGGTATTTTCAGCGTCATTACCTACCTAAATACCTACCCAAGGTACCTAGGTGCATATAACTGCCCAGGTGCTCATGCTCTCTTAATATCATTCGCAAGCGGCATCTTTGGCTGCATCGAAAACTAGTCCAGAACCGGGGGGTCAAGAGCTAGTAAACAAAATTAAAACATAATCGGCGTGATACACAGTGACTAGGACATGTAACTAGTGCGACAGCGTCAGTTAGCAACAGCCAGTGCTGTGCTTACCACGTAATCCTCACAGGTGCTAATAATTGTGAGGGAGTACCATGAGGTACCTAATCTGCCTCCAGCCTCATAATTTGAGATACATGTCAGAGTGCCCTACCTCATAGAAATTGAAAAACCTGCGACGCGGTATTGTACTGCCTTCAAATTTACGGCTTAGACGACAGGGGTTAATGGAACTCAAGAATGGCGAAAGGGCATGCTGTCTTACGGTCTTCGTTCCCATTCGCTGTCGACATACCGCCAGACTGCAGGATCATATCTTGTAACAACACTACCCCGGAAATTATTGTTTCGCTTGCAGCATACCTCGCCAATAGGACCACAAGACAGTGGCATCACTGCCCGAAGGCTATGTGCTTTAGACACGCATTCTAGTGTACTTCGTGGCACCGCATCAACATGCATGCCACCTACATGTAAAGATACCTACCTAAGGTATGATGTGTACCTAGGTACCTAGGTATATAACATTGTAGATGTGACCAGTATCGCATTCTGGTATAACGCATATCATGTGAATAATCGCCCTGATTGAGCGCTTGGTACGGGAAACAATAGCTTCATCAGATCGCACTCGTCACACCATCTGGCAAGAAACTCCTCCGCTAACAACGGCCTCGGTACGCGCATGTACCAAACTCGCATGCCGATTGTCTTCGGAACCCTACTGCGTGAGGCTGCTAACTGCGCCTTGTCGGCTGGCCGAAAGGCCTACAAGTATGTCGTGGAACCGGGGCTCGGCGTGTGGTGTTACGACGAGCCCTTTCACCGCCCCCAAGGTAGGTAGATACCAATCGACTACAGCCATGACACCCACCATCATCGTAAAAGAAGAATTATAGGTGTTATCATGAGCATGCAATCAATACACGCAACCTTGGAATACTCGTCAAAAAGATAGGCTCTTGAGTGGGAAACGGGCCCATGCGCCTGACTTGACATGCATTTGATTTGCAGTAGAGAGTACATCATATAGGTAGCGATGCTTTCTTCAGTGTGCCTCGGTTCGCTCATCAAGATGGGAAACAGATGTTTGCTCAATGCCGCGACGAAACCATCCCCTATTCGCTTAAGACCACCCACGAGATGGACTACAACTCATTCTTATCTATCAGCTCTCTTCTCTTGTTTTGCTCTACTTACCTTCGGTTGCCACGCTCTTCATTCCCATGTAGAGTGTATCAAGAGACTATGCTCCACTCTTCAACCAACTCCCGATCGTCTGATGGAATACATCTGGTTTGTGATCTTGCCTATTACTCCAGTCATCGCTATCACTCTCCCAATCTTCGCCTCTTACTAGAGTGTTCTGGGGCACATCGATCTTGATCACCACCCTGCTGAACCCTGATGTTGAGCACGTACTCTCTCGACGCGGCGAAGTTCGCTTTGTCTGCAGTGCGCTGGAGAGGCCTTTGCTGCCGGGGTCTGGGAAGCAAGAGGATACTGACGACCGCCTCTTCGTTCTCGTCGGCGGCAGCGATCACTGGGTATCCCGGATCTCTTTCCACTTTGTAATGAAGGTGATCCGCCAACTGCTCGTAGATGCCCGAGTTTTCTTGATCTAAGGGATCTCTCAGTCGTTTCCATGGCTCCTTCCATCGCGGTAGAATCCCAACCGAAGGGAAACTTCTCTTGCTAAGGTTGATGACGACGTCAAATTGAGAGGCGTCCTGTACTACTTCGTCTCTAAATTCGACATTTATGAATACTAGTCGGTTGGGCTGTACGATGAGTTCATCCTTCGTGAGACCCTGTCTATTTGAACCACTTTCGTCAAAAAGCTTCAGTCGTGTGTCAACGATCTCCGTGCTATAGTCTGCGAAGTACTTTTTGCCGATCGTAATCTGCTCGGGATATTTGAGGGCAAATATTGAGGAGGACGTGATGACGTGTGAATAATTGCTAGCTTGGATAATAGCAGGCTCTTTACTAGACTCCTCTTTCCACTCGTCGGGCGTGATAATTGTCGTGTCGTAAATTTCGTCCAGCTGAATCCTGTCGTAAGTGTCATTCACAAGTTCGAGGGGTATAACGAGATGGTTGGAGCCCTCGTAACGGCAGTTCAGGTGAATGAGGCAACTCGACGGGTCGTCCTTGCGTCTCCAGCGCTTGGCATTGATTTCTAATCCCTTGTTCGTCATGGAGAAGCTGCTGCCATGGAAACCGGAGGCTTCTATGTTGGACGCATCCCAGTACTCTCTGATGGAGGGTGCGAGGATGCCTCTTCCATGCTCATGAGCTGCTGTGAGACAGCGTTAACAGGTCACTCTCCGCAGATGCCTCTTCTTCGTTAGGGGGATCTCACCTTTCTGCTGCAATCTAGTCGAGCGCCCGTTTGTCGATTGTCCGAATTTCCAGGCGAATATGGAGTCGTCATTATACACCATGATCAGCTCGCGTTGGAGCCTGTTGAAAGCTCGCCACCTTCCCTCGCCGTAGATCAGGGGTAAGCTGATACCGAAGAGCCCGAGGAGTGAGTACGTCTCGTCTTCTTCCACTGTCGTTTGGCGACGGGAGGCCCAAGATAACCGCATGGCAATGGAACACGACTCGAAGTCCGTCGGGCTGAAGTTAGTCAAGTGCCGCGCCTCGATCCTGCTGGCCTCCTTGATCTCGTCAGACCAGCTCTCACGGGTGCCGATCCGGCGCCACGCTTGATCGACAAAGACTAGATGAGGGGGTGCGAGAAGCTCCTGCAACGTCCAACCCCGAGTAAACCACTTGGCTTTGATCAGGAAGGCTCTAAGCGCCCTATGGGGAAAGCTCATCGGATCGGCAACATTGTCACGGCTGGCAATATCGTCGAGGTCGAAGTCTACAAGGCCCAGATGACCGACAACTTGATCAACGTCGATGTCACTGAGATAGGCGTAGCATATACCGGCATTCTGGTACCAGCGGAACATGGCATTGATCGCCTCTTGGGTGTCAGCAGGATTTGTCTTGTCGATGCAGCAAGTATCCATCCAAGCCCATTCCCATCCGTCTTTTGCGGCACGATCACAGTATTTCCGGAGCTTGGCCCAGCCTCTCTGTTTGAAGATATCATTTTCTATGTCGCTTTTTCTCTGCTTAAAATCCTGATAGGTGATTTCGTCTTTAGGTGATATCCAAGTGTGAGAAAGGATGGCGTATTGAGGGAAAGGTGTAGGGATGTCATTTGCTTCGATCAGCTTGTATTGGTCGGTTTTCAGGAGCCGCATGTTGGCCAGGTCAGCGAGTCGTAAGCTAGAGATTAGAGTAAGACGTCGACCTCTACCAACTACAAACTAGAGCTGAGATCCGTAAGACAAGCGAAATACTCAGTGTAGCCTTGTGGTGGTTTCACTTATCCTCTTAGTGAAGCCACGGTCAGACACGCGAAGGTTATTTGAGGCTCAGCAAAGGAGAAATTATGCTTGGCACTTCGCTATTCGAAAATAGGGGCCAGGCTGCGCCCACGGCACCACCCCCGCCACACCCCGTGCCCTATGCACATGTATTTCTAGGCCCGGGGTGGCTTTTTTCAATTTATAATTTAAGGAATAAATGTTAAAACTGCGAATATATATAAGTTAATAGTCAAATAGAATACAAAACCAGAAATTTTTGTTAAAAAAAGGTAAAAGCAAAAAAAAAAAAAAAAAAAAAAAAAAAAAAAAAAACTAACTAACAGTTTGCTGAGAGCCGGAATCGAACCGGCGTCTCCGGCAGTGAAGATACTGCGCACAGTACTGCATCGCATGCACTGAATCTCCCCGCTGTGGCTGGCACCCGCACCTGTCTGCGGTGCCCGACATCCGCGGTTGGGGGATCCAGTGCATGCTCTCCCGGAATCTTACCACTAGACCATCCCAGCTTTGCCTGGTGAAAATACCTACTGCAATTTTGCCATATAACCCACCTGTTTGGTCGGTCGGCGGAAGGCCGGCGAAACTGCGTCGGTTGCTGCTCTGAGATTCCGGGGCAACGCGCTCCCAGGCAGCGAGGCTAGCTATCAGGCACGTCCGCACTCGGATACTTAGCAGCGCTGGCGTGGTGAGCATTTACATAGCAGATACGGCTTCTAATGGGCATGTAGGTCTATAGGCCTACTTGAGATGATGACTATAATCATCATCAGCACTCACCGAAACAACTCTGTTGACGTTCAGTCCTCGACCATCTCTGAAGGCCTACGAAGAGGCACTGCACAACTAGATATAGTATGTATGCCCCTACTCGTAAGTATAAAGTTAGGAGGGCCTGGCATTCTGTCTACCCCCTCCTCAGCAGTCTGCCAACAGTACTACTCTATTTGCTTGAATGTCTCCATAAGCACAATTTCACCAGGAATAGCCTTTGCCATTCTCTCGAAATTATTAACCTGGGTGTTCAGAGGCAATAATTCGAAGATACCGTCCTTTACGCCACCCCCTTTTTTGGACCCCTCTTATTATTCCGGGATTCGACTAAGACATCCTTCATCATGACCGATGGAATAAGCTGTTAGAGTCACGGCTACCCCCTGATAATCTTTGCTGGGTCTTGACTTCCCTAGTGCGTCGAAGTGTTCCGGCAGATATATCTAGCACTGAAACTCTTCTTACAGCGACTTTGCCATTCCGTCCAAGTCCTCCCTTGATTAGAGTATCGATCAATCATGCCACTGAGTTGATGATATCCTAACGCCCTAGATAATTGCCTTATTGAAGATGTGCTTTGATCTACTTGGCTGAGTTGTGGAGAGCTGGAGCTGTTAGGGGCGGATAGGGGTAATAGGGGTAGTACAACTCGAAACTTGCCTCGGGTCAGATACTTGAGCCACACCATAGAGTATGCCGAGAAAGTGCTGAGAGTTTATAAAATGAGCTCTGCTCCTCATAAATGGGGCAGGGCGGCGTGGTGGGATGGGGGAACGATACTAGATCAGACGATCCTCGGTGCCAATTAAGGACGAGGAGATCATTTAGCATCAGAAATTTAACAACTCTAGTTTCGCCGAATTAAGACAAGGGGGAGTTACAATCGTTAAAAATCACTCTCACCCGAGGATGGGTCCTGAATGAGCTGTATGCTTCGATTACCTGTGAAATACAACTAGTCACTTGGCCAGGTGAAGAAGAAACATCTTGTGATGAAACTATGTTATTCTGTAGATGCGTGCCTACAGCATATTCTTCAAGGTACACAAGTCATGCCCTAGACTTCACCGCGAAGCCAAGCCTGGTCCTTCAAATTCTGAAAAGCTTGAAAGGGGTTCTGCCCACATCCCTTATGGAGTCATGATAGCTCGTCGAAGTGTTAGATTTAACGGTCTTGTCTGTAGGTTTTCGTCGTTTCCGCTCTGGAATTCCTTCTATAGTCGTATGTAAAGCGGGTTTTTCCGGATGCTCAACTCTGTGCTTGTCTTCATTAGTTGATTTTGCTTGAAGCAAACTGCTTCCGTATCGAGGACTTTCTGTTGTATCTCGATTATTCGCAGGTAAATAGTAGAAAGCGTCCTGAATCTTGGAGCCTAGATTTGGAATCGTAGGCTGTAAGGGAGTATTCTCAGGAGGCCTCTCCGTTATATCCTCTGCAATGATTCGAAGCCACTCCTTGCCGTATTTCTGGACCTTGGATGTACCAACTCCGTGAATCTTGAGGAGCTGCTTCTCGGAGACTGGTCGGCCTCTAGTAAGTTCCTCGAGAATTTTATTTGTTGCAACTATATACGCTGGCACACCCTGCCTGATGGCGATCTGTCTGCGATGAAACACAAGGTTCTTGTAAAGTTTGCTCGATACGACTGGCTCGGACGATTTGGTACTAGATATAGTACGGCTGAGAACTTGTTCAGTTCTCTTCTTCACATGGTCATTGCTGTATTCTGCTTTCTGCAGTCGAAACACGCCTCCTTCCACGCTGCCCTTGCTGTGTTTCGTATTACTCGGCGGAGAGTAATGTGCAGTGGCAAAGGGCTTGGTAGGGGGGATCTCGTTTTGGGTTTCCTCCGCGGCTGATTCGAACTGAACGAGACCTATTGGCGGTAATTTGAAAGGGAGATACGACTCAGCCGGTTTGGGAAACGGCGGGACCGGTGTCGTCGCCAGTCGTTTGGCATTCATGCAGTGGAATAGCATGAAGCCAGCGTACGCGTCGTTCGCGGCGTATATCCTCTGGTCTTGGGTCAAGGGGAGACTCCAGTCGCTCTGCCGAACGGACCCCTTGTATAGAGGCAGGCCGAGATGATGTTCGACCTGCTTGGATAAGGCGCAGAGTTTAGTCGTGACAGGCTTATTACCTTGCGGCTCGCGGCGTACCAGGTTGTGGAGATGGCTTAGTTCGAAGGCGCCACGCGGGTTCAAGTCGAATTCTTCCTTCAACTTCTTAAAGTCCGCGCTCAGTATCGCTACGCCTGTCTTAAGGATTGTTGGTGATTCAATTATGCGCCGCAGAGAGGGCGCGATGATATCGTCGACGGTCTCGCCATCGTGGAGTGCGACGTGGAAGAGGGCGATTCTGCGCTCGCAGGCAATCTGGATGAGTGCGATCTTTTCTTGAAGCCGTGCGCTTTTCTCTGACCACATGGGCCACTCCATATCGAACCCAATGACGGGCTCGTCCAAAAAGGTTCGAGCAATGCTCTCCGAACGATTCAGGGAATCGCTGTACAGAATTTGAGGCGCTCGGTTTCGGGATCCGCGATAGTAGAAGTGATTCCACCACTGGTGCGGAGGGCCGCCAGGCTCGGGTGGTTTCAATTGGTAGGCCAGGGGCCATTGGGTCGTGTGTCTGTCGAACTTGGCGCCTGTCTTTGGCGCATTATCCATCTTTAAGCATTATTGATTCAAGCGACGATGATGTTGATGATGGATCGATACGTCAGTTGTTGACATTTTACGCATCTACGTAGACCTGCTAGGAAACAACATCCTGAGACAAGACGGCATTCGAGAAGCTTACAGGAGCAGCAAAATACCTAATTGGATTGTAGTTGTCGCCGAGCGACGCGCTGGTATAGAGTTTGCCCAACTAGGGGAAAGCGTCAAAATCGAGAAAATGACTTGTCGATTGCCAAAATAGGAGCAAATGGATGAGCTTCAGGGCCAAATTAATACAGCAGTCATAGGCACTAAATTCCCTATATTCTGAAACGCGCGACCAGCAGTAAGCTGCGTGAATAACAGCGTGTGTGGAAGGAGGTCACTTGACAAAGACAAGTCAGTCACTAGTCGCTTGAGAGATACCTTATCTATCTTTCCGTGGTTGCCGGGCCGCATCCAAACGTCGCACACGGGCCGAATCGGCTCTATGGGCAGGTTACTTCCCCGGGACGCGAGTGCATAGTGGCCGCATGGTGGAATCGGCATTATGAGCACGAGCCACCAGGCCCGCCTTGAAGACCGTGCCGCACTTGTAGGATCAGGGCCGACGGCGTCTCATCATGGTAAAGCCGACGACTATGTCCGTCCAACGGGCACTGCTCCTCCTATGGAGAAGGCTGAAACGACAGGTAAACAAGCCCGTCATGTTCGCCTTCTGGGGCTTATATGGCGGCGTTACTATGAAGGATCACTTGAGAATATCGGGTCCGTGGCTGTTTTATCGCCGATAGGATTTCAGTCCTCTGATAAAGCCGAAACTAGTCAATCGGAATTTATTTCAACACCCATCTTGAAGATGTAGTGCCGCCTCTGGAGCCGGGGGCACGGGTGACCCATGAAATAAGTATAAAGCGGCCGCGCCCCAAGGACGGCGCCGTAAACCATGACATTCAATAGGCTCCTTTGACACAGTCCAGACTCAGACGTGCCGATATCTAGAACCATGTCGACTACCGCTTCATCGCTGGCTTTGCCGTCCACGTGGACTATCTCATACGCCTTGACGCCGGCCCCGTCCAACCCCAACGCGCCCGTCGTGATCCTCTCTAACTCGCTCTACGCACCTATCCCGACATGGGACAGAGTAGTCCCCGAGCTCACCGCTAAAGGCTTCACCGTGTTGAGATATGACCAGCCAGGCCACGGAGCGTCCACTGTTCCAGCAGACCTCTCCTCCACCACATTTGAGAGCATCGCCGACGACGTGCGCACGCTTCTCAACCATCTCTCCATCAAGCAATTGCATGCCTGGATCGGCGTCAGCATGGGTGCTGCTACCGGCTTCGTGTTTACTGCCAAATATCCAGGCATCGTCCAGAGACTAGTGGCGTGCAACACCATGTCGTGCTCCCCCGTCAACGCCGGAATCGACGATTTCTTCGCCCCCATGATCAAGGAAGCGCGCGAAAAGGGCAATATGGATGCGGCCGTGAACTCCATTCTCGAGACGTGGCTCGGACGGGCGTGGATAGACGCCCACTCGGACGAGGCGGACCGCGTGCGGCAGCTGATGTACACGACCTCGATCGACGGCTTCGAGACGTGCTGCGCGGCCCTGCGGAGCCCCACCTTCGACTCGCGGGCCCAGGTCGAGCGCGCGGGACAGGGCGTCGACAAGGCGATGCTGGTCGTCGGCGGCAACGACGCAAACCTGACTCGGACGATGCGGGAGCTCCGAGAAGGCGTCGAGCGAGGACAGAAGAAGAAGGATGCCGGCGACACGGTGGAATTGCGCGTGATCGAGAACGCAGGGCACATATCCCACATTGACGGGTTTGATGACTTTATGGCCGCCGTACTTCCTTTCCTCGAATAAACTCGACGGTCTCGTGGCGCCATAACAGCGCTAGGAAACTCTGAATAAGGCGATGTCCCCACAGAATAGGAACAATTGCGACAACAATGTTAAGTTGCTTCAAGCTTACTTGCTACACGTCACGCTTTGGCAACAAGACATGACTGTGTCGTTCAGCGTAGCAATGACTTGACGTGGTGAATTATTGAGTCATTG